CCAGCCCTCGGATCATCTTTGTGGCCTCCTCTGGACCCACTCCAACAGGTCCATATCTTTCCTGTGCTGAGGGCTCCAGAGCTGGATGCAGGACTCCAGGTGGGCTCTCACCAGAGCAGAGTAGAGGGGCAGAATCCCCTCCCTCGACCTGCTGGCCACGCTTCTTTTGATGCACCCCAGGACACGGTTGGACTTCTGGGCTGTGAGCGCACACTGGTGGTTCATGTCCAGCTTTTCATCCACCAGTACCCCCAAGTTCTTCTCCTCAGGGCTGCTCTCAATGTCTTCATCCCCCAGCCTGTATTGATAGTGGGGGATGCCCTGACTCATGTGCCGGGCCTTGCACTTGGCCTTGTTGAATTTCATGAGATTTGCACAGGCCCACCTCGCAAGCCTGTCAAGGTCCCTGATCTGGGCCTTGCTTAGAGCTGAAAAGGAGGGGGAGGGAGGAGGTTGCTGAGCATTTCTGTAAACAGGAAATAAAATTGTCTTGCTTTTGTCATGGAATGGATTGACACTTGTTTTGGGAATAACCAGTCACAACACAAGGGGTTTCTGCTTACTGAGAAGGATTTCTGGGGAAAAGAGACAGTTGCAAATTGTCTGGTTTTGTGAGTCTGCAAGGCAATGGCACGTGTAGGCAATGCTGTGTAGATGAGTAGTTTCTGTGGTTTAGTATGCTGGTTCAGTAGCATATATTCAGATCTTGTGTTACTAACACTTGCCCTGTCTTTTCCTGCTTGATCCTTGTACTTCTCTGGGTTATACTTAGATCTGACCCTCAAAGCTGTCCTCCTCTAGCCTGAGCCAGTCCTAGATCCCTGTTACTCTGCTTGTTTATGAAACAAAGCCCTGTGGGAACTGATGAGTGGACGACTTGTCATTCTTGGGACTTGTGTCTACAGCTGTTCCGGAAGGTTTTAGGCAGTTGCAGGGGGGCAGCCCAAACCTAGAGTCAGCCCAAAGCTAAGCCCCAGGCTGCGTGGCCTTTGGGGTTTAATGTGCTTGTGGTCAGTACGAGTGGGCTTGAGGTTAAGGTTAAGCTTAACCAAGTTGTCAGCTTGGACAGAGCCTAGATATCATGGCTTACAAGTGTAAGGTGAGATTTCAGTGTCTTTTGAACAGCTGAATCTCTCTTTTCCTCTTGAAATAGAGCAGTTTGATCCATACCCTTGTTACAGACCACAGGGGCCCCGTCTGTCCAGTCTCAAAAACTTCTAAGGGAGTGAAGCGCTGCTGTGCTTTTTTTCACCTGTTAACATGCCTAGAGGATGTAGTGGCCATCTGTCTTTAAGGCAGGTATCTCAGCAGACTGCAGGGACCGTGAAGAGTGCCACTGGCCCTCCTGTCTCCCAGTATTGTGGCGGTGGATAAAGAAACAACAGCCTGGTCTTCTAAAGAGTTACAGTTTCCATCTCTTTGCATGAGATTACCTTTTCCTACTGAGCAGTGTTGCCTCTGAAAACTAGGTGGTTGTAGACATGGAAAAAAATTCTAAGAATATTTCTTCTCTTCAGTCTGAAATACAAATTGATTTCTGATGAGTCCATGAAGAGTCTTCATTGTTAGCCTTTTCCCTGGTGACTTGTGAAGCTGTAACTCTTCTGAATTTATTTTTCACACAGAACAGCATGTATTTTCCCTACTGTTGACCTCTGACTGTGCTACAAGGATGGGAAGTTTTGAAGGGAATACTGTTTCTTGCAGTAATCAGTGTAGCAGCAGGCATTTGTTGAGCCTAGGCATTCAGGACAATAATTCAGGGAAAAGGCAGCCAAATCCGTTTTGGGATGTTCAGACTCTCCTGAGAACAATTCCCAAGGCAGCCCTCACAGTTTGTGCCTGCATTCAGAGGGCCGTGCCTTGCATGAAGGAGCCAGCTGTCTTCCCTGATCCAACACAGGTGCTGTGTAGTTGCAGCCGTGGGTTTCTGAGTGTCTGCAGGCTTGTGCTTTCTTTTTCTCCGAATTGTTTTGTGCCAGGAAGGCCTGGTTGCTCGCTGCGCTTCCCACTGCTCGGCTAGTGATTGTTACAACAACAAGAAGTAACCCTGCAGTGATTTCATCAAAACACACACTCCCTGCGGTGCATTTCAGCTTCTTATTGGAATACTTTGGATTAACAGAGCCTTAGAGAAAGAATAAAGAAGCCTTTGTGTTCGTCAAGGATTTTTACTAGTGAGTAAGTGGCAGCCTGCTAGTTTGCAGAGAGAAAGAGCAATTTGATCCTATGTGTTTCTGTTTGAAACCATGCACATCTTGTTTTGCTGAGAACTCAAGATCTTTTTTTTTTTCTTTTTTTTAACTGATATTTCTATTGTCTTTATCCCCAGAGAGCTTGGTTTTCCCCTGGCTTTACACCTGGTGTGGCTACTTTGCACCTGTGGTATGCACGTGTATAATGCCACCAGTATCATGTGCTAGGTGACGTGCACTGTAATAGTTACGAAGGAGGTGCAAAGCGACGGGCTTCGATTTCAGCAGTGAGTGGCATGTGTAGCTGAAGCCAGAATTTGACCTTCCATAATAATGGAGAACCAAAGCAGTATCCAAAAAATGACGTTAGTTCCTTGTATCACCAGGTCCTGCAGTAAACACAGTTCGTCAACCACAGGGGTCAAGTGTGATTTGAGTTGAGGTGGAGCTTGTTTTAAAGTATTAAATAAACACGTCTGAAACTGGGAGAGAACAGTAAGTCATCTCTGACCTGCATTTCACAGGCTGAGTAATTTTCACCCAGTCACTGCAGGGTTGTACTTGCAATAGTATTATAATCTCAGTATGACTATGCAGCAACTCAAATCACAGTATATGTCTGAATGTTCATGGGGAGAAAAAGAGTCCATTTACTTTTCATGCTTACTGCTCTGGAGCTTAGGCAACCTTGGGCAGCCTGTGGAGTGACATTGGGCTGTTAGCTGTATGGGTGGAGTGTGAACATTTCTAACTTAATTTACCAATGAATGTATGTTAAGCTTGCATTAGCTAAGTGTTAAATGGCAATAAAGGTATTAAGAGTTAATGGAAAATGGAGTACAGAAAGGCTATTGCTTTTGAATAGTACATTTTTGAATAATTGCGTTCCCGGTTGATTTGTTTTTATAGATCTCTTCCATGTCATTCTTTGTGCTTTTTGAAGTAAATTTTTGTGAGGAACAGAGGAAATGTAATTTGCTGTGTGGCTTGCATTTAAGAGATATTTTATTGCGGTAGCATTTTATGTAAGTTATTAATTGCAAAGCACATTATGATGTGCAATTCTAATTCTAGCTAATTTGATTACCCTTGCAACACAGTACAACTTTACTTTAGGAAACTCTTGTTAGCATGTAATAAGATCTTGCAGTTGAGAGGGAAAAAACCCAAGCTCCTTAAGCATTACAATTTCATAGTGTCGTGCTCAAAATCACTGTGCCTTGTTCTAGTGCTGTGCAGGAATGGAACAGTGTGTTGTCCCTCTCCAGCACTGCTGCTGAAAGGGTTGGGAAGACTATCCATAAAGATAACTGTATTTAGACATATTATCAAGAGTGATTAACTGGTCTCAGTGCTACAATCTTAACATGGGTCCTGAGAGCACTGTGTATCTAGCTAAAAACCTGCTTGCGTAATGATGGGTAAATGTGCTCAGCTGCAAAGATGTGTGCTCCTTATTCTCTCTTTCAGATAGACTGCAGATGGAAAGACAATCTGATGATGGGGATGCCAACCTGGAACTTAACAATTTTAGTTCAGTTTTCTAGTTTAAAGCTTTTTCAATAATCACTGACGTTCATACTAGGCTTTTTATGGGTCTGAGCAGTAGTCCACATGAGCCACAGTTGCTTATCTGTGAAACAGAAATAGCAGTTCTCTTCTGCCATCCAACAGTGTGGCAAGGATGGTGTTTCATCCAGGATCTGCTAAGATGCAGTAGTATGGCCACCGAAGTAGTGAGATGGACAGATTAAACTGTATGACAAACCCTTGTTTTCAGTGAATGCTCTCATTCATACTCAAATGTAAATATCAGCCAGATTCTTATGTACGCATCATCAGAATTTTTTGGCAAAATGTTTTTCTACAGAAAAATGCTCTACTGAGGGAACACAACTTTCTACAGAAGTATTTTGGCTTCTGTGAAGCTTTCTCATGAAGGGGCCTTTGTTCCAAAACGAAGAATTCACTCCCTTCATCTGCATGTGCAGCCCCTTGTGAGCTGGGAAAGGCCAAAGCTCAAGTCCAGGCTCTGTCTGATTCAGAGCAAGACTGTAAATCTGTTGTCCACTTCCCAGGTGATAGGTGCAGCAGCAGTTACTGGCTTTTGTGATTCATACTCCACTGGAGTGGTAAGAAGAACAAATCCCAAAGCACTTCCATGCTGTTCTTGAAAGTAGGATTCTTGTCTTCTGTTTTCCATTGATGGCAACTATGTTATTAAACAACTAAGACATCTTGGATCGTATTGAGACGTAGTGTAGAGTACCAGTTGCAAGGTTTCTTTATTTGTTCTTCATGACCTATGTTTTCACCTTTCAGGGCGTGCTGATGGTTGGTCCTCCAGGCACTGGCAAAACAATGCTAGCGAAAGCTGTTGCTACAGAATGTGGAACGACATTCTTCAACGTGTCTTCCTCTACTCTGACGTCTAAATACAGGGGCGAGTCTGAGAAGCTGGTTCGCCTCTTGTTTGAAATGGTATGTCCTCAATGATGCGATCTGGGGATTGCTAAGGTGAGAAGGGACATCTCCCTTGGTTTCCTGTCCCTCTAGTAGCATGTTGGAAGCATGGTGTTCATTGCACTGACACCCCCTCAACCAGCTAGAAAAGCACAGTCTCTGTGTTTCTGTCCTTTACTGATATGTCGTTGAGGATTGAGAACTAAATGGTTCATCACCCATGTTTAGGATAGCATTTTCTAGACTAGATATAGTTGTGACCTTGACAGAAATTCAGTTCTTACTCAGTTATGGGATAGGCCCATGGGGAGTAGATGTGAAATTGGAAGGGATTCAGACCTGTTATTCTAGAAGCAATACATGGTTTAGTTCTGTTTCTGTTGTGAACGATGGACACAAGCCTCTCAGTCAAGCTTTGGTTGCGATCCGTCATGCAGGGTGTGTGAAGGACATGCCCACGTGGGCTTATGCTGAACGGTCATTCACCTCCTTTGGATCCTTGCTACATTTCTGCCATGCTCTCAGTTAAAACCTGTCTCTGTTGAGACAGGCTGAGCTGCATTCTGTCCCCATGGCTTTCCCCTCACTGCAGAAAAACCTGGACATGAAAAACTGCCTGTATTTTGATTGTGTTCCTTTTTGCTCTGTGCAAGACTAGTTGCTGAGGAAGCATAGAATCATAGGCTGGAAAAGACCTCTAAGATCATCAAATCCAACCATCCACCCAACACCACTATTCCTACTAAACCATATCCTGAAGTGCCACATCTACATGTTTTTTGAACACCTCCAGGGATGGTGACTCAACCACCTCCCTGGGCAGCCTGTTCCGATGCCTGACCACTCTTTCAGTAAAGAAATTTTTCCTAGTATCCTATCTAAACCTCCCCTGATGCAACTTGAGGCCATTGCTTCTCGCCCTATCACTAGTTACCTGGGAGAAGAGACCAACACGTGCCTCACTACAACCTCCTTTCAGGTAGTTGTAGAGAGCGATAAGGTCTCCCGTCAGCCTCCTCTTCTCCAGAGTAAACAGCCCCAGTTCCTTCAGTTGCTTCTCATAAGACTTGTTCTCTAGACCCCTCACCAGCTTCGTTGCCCTTCTCTGGCCGTGCTCCAGCAACTCAACATCTTTCTTGTAGTGAGGGGAAAACCAACCAACACTGAAAGACCCCTGACTTGAGGAGTACAATTTAAACTTAACCATATGCCAAACAGTTTGTAAATCAAGATTCTGAATTATTTTCTTGTGACAGGCAGGGAAGATATGTACGTAGTATGTCTAGTCGGACTGGGTCGTGGTCTGGTGAGGGCCTGTGCTTGCTGCTGCAGCCTTAATAGTGATGTTTTCATTTGAATGAAGGCGAGGTTTTATGCTCCAACAACAATCTTCATTGATGAGATAGATTCCATCTGCAGCCGCAGAGGCACATCCGATGAGCACGAGGCGAGTCGCAGAGTCAAGTCAGAGCTGCTTGTGCAAATGGACGGTAACACGTGTTTAGATCCGAGTTTGGGGCTGGGGCAATGTTTTGTTACAGGTGGGAATGTAAGAACTTCAGCAATCTGGAAAACCTGGCTCCATGGATGGGGGAGAAATAAGGCAGAATTTGAGAGTAGTGTATTTTTGGAGTGTTCAAAGGCAGATGACTGAAAAGGATGTTCTGCTTTATTTTTTCTAAAATGGCCGTTTTGATGATAAATTAAAATCTCATATTTAAGAGACGCTGACTCTAGGAGAAGCAGATAATGGGGATTTGTGCAGTTTAATACAGGTCTTTAATTTTGATACAATTTAATCAAATTTGCTCCCTTCGCTAGTCTCCAGCTCGGGAACCCCATTGTGAGATCTGATTTTGCTGTATTCTGTGGTGGCAGCTAATATTATCCTTTTAGTTGGATTATAGTACGTCTTCTGTACAGGTACACATAACAAGGATGCACTTCCATCTAAGGAATACTGTATGGTGTAGTGGTTTGCTAACCACCTCTGTACTGCAGCTATTTTTTAACTGCTATTTATTATGTCCTCAGGTGTCCAGGTTCATTGTGGTAAACTCAGGCTAGGCAACTTCTTGCCCCAAAGTGATAATTTCTTTGCAGTCCTCAGGCCGAGAAGTGATTCCTGTTTCTTCTATGGCCAGATTTGACAGAGATAGCACTTTCAGTGGGACTAGTAGGGCTACACTCACATATGACTGTTATTAGCACTGTCAGAGAAAACCCTCCCCTGACTCAGCAAAACAATGAACTGTCCCCTTTTCTGTGATGATGATGGTCTTGTCACATCTAAGCCATGGGGAGTTTGGCAAGGGGCATGAGGACCATATAGAGCTATGGCTTAGCTTTCCCCAGGCTTTTGCAATGTTTGTGCAGTGCTTCTTAGCAAGCATCTCAATCAATAAGAGCTGTGGAGTGAAATTGCTTTAAACTGTTGTTCTTGCAGGGGTAGGCGGTGCTCTGGAAAATGATGACCCTTCCAAGATGGTTATGGTATTAGCTGCAACAAATTTTCCATGGGATATCGATGAAGCTCTCCGACGGAGACTGGAGAAGAGGATTTATATACCTTTGCCCACAGGTATGTTTGCTATGAGCATTTTCCTTTAAGATGGCCTTTGCAAGACAAGCTTAGGATTACTGCAGGACTGTTGGGTTTGGGAGAAATCTTGACGTTTTTGTGATGAGCAGTGAAATTCAGGGGTTAATCATTTGGCTGGGCCGCTTTATTTTTAAAGAGAGTGAGAGAAAGAAAAAAATACTACTTGCTTGAGGGCTTAAAAACAAAGAGCTGTGGCATTTCATTGCAAGCCCATTGAAGGGTTCTTACAATTTGAAAGAGAGTTAGTTTTAATGAGGCTGGAATTATTTTAAATGTTTAACAGTCAGTCCTTGAGTGATCATCAAAGGCAGCCTTTGGACATGTTCAGAAACATTGCAAATGCACTCCGTGCCCTTGCAGACAAATGCAAAGAAGTGGATCCATGAATTTTCACTTACAGGCTTAGTTCCTTGTAAATCACTGCTTGCTCGCCTTTATGACTGTGCTTCGAGTCACTCAGAATGCAGCAGGCTGATTGCTTCCCTGCCCTAAGACGTCTTGGCTTGTATTGTCTTTCCTAGCTGTCATTCACCTGTCCTATTAATTTTGAGATTCCTATCACTTGAAGTTTGCATAGCTTCGTTCCTTCTTGGTACAGTGGATGCCTCATCTCCCTGCATGAGCACTCAAGGTAACAAGATGCGTGTTCATGGTGACAGCAGCAGTGATTGAGTTTAGCAGGTATAAGGACACTTAATAGATCTACAGCTTGTCTTTGCAGCTCACAGGCGGTAACAGCTCCTAACAGGATGCCTGTCTTTATGACCAATTAGTTTAAAATCCTATCAGCTGTTGCTTTTGTTTCTAATTAAACCAGATTGTTTTTTGACAGAGTGTATTACACCCTGGACAACATACGAGATGTGCTCCATTTTTATTTCTAATCTTATGTTCTGTTGCGTCTATTCTGTAAACAAGAATGTTGAGCTGTTCCGGGCAAGTCTAAATGATGCATTTATAACTGTGCTGTGTGATTTGATGAGGTCAGGCATTTTAATTGAAAAAGTGGTACGATATGTCAGATATACACCTGTTTATTGTGGAATTTGATGCAACTGTATATTCTACTGTGTTGCATTTTCAAAATACTGCAAGGACTTGCTTAGCCCCATAGCAAAGATTAGAAGAATGCTCTCTGGTACAGGACGCTCTCTGCAGGTGTGCTGTATGTACCTTGTGCTCTGTAAATAATAACTCTCCATTTTATAGCTACTGCCACTTGCGTGTGTTTGATAATTCTATATTCTTGACAGTTCTGCAAAGCACACAAAACCAGCAGCTTTAGACAAGCTTTCTAATTTCTTTTATTTTTCCCCTTCCCCCAAAATTTAAAAAAATATTAATTAGGGACATCAGTAAATAAAATGTAAGCGTGGACATTTCCTTAAGACTTTTAGCCTTTCATACTGCTACTGCTTCTGCTGCGGTTGTCCTCTTTTCTAGGTCATAAAAATTTGTCACTGTGGAAATAAAGATGCTGAGCTGGTATATTTTTCTGTACAGTAAAAGCCACAAAAGCATTTGTCCTCTTCTTTACCACCCTTGCGCAGAGTTACACTGAGGCCTAAGCTGTCAAATGTGAATTCTCTCTTAGAAGTCTAGGCTGCTTAACATGTGTACCCAAATGCACATATGCACATGCCCTCTACAAGAAAAATCGTTAATTGGCTGCGTAAGTGCTCATTTATGCAGCTGGTTATCACTGTGTGCACACTGCATCTAGGTCTGAAAGTGGGGTACCAGGACATTTGTACTGTAAATACATTAATATATGTTTACTGTATTAATGTATCTGTTTTCTGTCAGGCTTCAGCAGCTTTCTTGGGTCCCAGCTGAGTAAAGTGCTTAGACATATGCTTAAAGTTCAGCCTATTGTTAAGGGGTTTGTGCTGTCTGAAGCTCTGTTAATAGAATCCTCATTGTGGTCCTGATGAAACTGTGTGAATAATATGAAATCAAACATTTGAACAGCGAGTGAATCCAAAGGGATGTGAGAAGAAGCAGACATTTGTAGGATTGTGCTTTTGTGCCCTTGGGTAGTATGTGACCAAATGCTTTGTCACCTGAGACATAACAGACTTTTTTAATGACGTATGACTTTGGAAAATGTCTCTAGAGCATGCTGTTTTAATATACTGCTTTTAACCATATGCTTTACTGTATTTGATTGCACGCTTTACTGTGATTTGTTCTGTCTCTTTCCTTATATTAAACCCTTTTGTTTGTACTTTTCACTGAAAAATCTAAGTTGAGTTTATATCTTTTTTTTTAATGTTACTCTTGCAAGTCTTCAAACAAGTATTCTTATGTTCTAGCGAAAGGCAGAGCAGAACTACTTAAGATTAATCTTCGGGAAGTAGAACTGGATCCTGATATCAGCCTTGAAGAAATTGCTGAGAAGATTGAAGGCTATTCTGGTGCTGACATCACTAATGTTTGCAGGTATCTCATTCCCCTTAATATGCAAATAAAACTCCATGGAAAGTCATCGTTTGCAATATGTGATAAAAGGCAATACCCACCACAGCTGAAGCCATGCTGACAGTGACTATGTTTGAGGCCCAAATCCATTTACTGGAACCATGTGTTACTGTCATGTGGAGCGGTCTAAAGACCACAGAGTCTTTCTGGGAGATGTGTTCATGTTTTCTCGGATCTGAAGAGAAAAAATTCTCTGAGCAGATCTCATGTTGCCATTGGCTGCATTTACTGCATTTGTCTGCAGTTGTTAATGAGGTGCAAAACAGGTTTGGAATTTAATTTTTTTTTAAATCCCGTGAGTTTAAGAGCTGGAATTTTGTGATGCAAAGGAACTGTTCACAGAATACTTCTTTGGGGCTTCTAGATGCTGTATGTTTGCCTCCAGTGCAGCACAGTCTTGGTTTCTGCCTGAATATTCTAGGTGCAAGGGTGATACAGATAGTTTATAGCATTAGTGTTGAATTTATTTCCATCCTGTTCCCGCAATTTGTTTAATTTTTTGACAAATTAGCCTTTTCTGGTGGAGGATAGGTATTTGAAAAAACTTATTGGAAGGAAGTCTATGTCCCTTGTAACATTAGGATCCCTGCCAAGAGAAACTAATCCTTTAAGAATGTGGTTGGGATTTTTTTTTTCCTCCCTGCTGCTTTGCTGAAATTGTGAAATGATTCCATGGTTTTGAAAACTTGGTGTGTGTCACACAGTGCAATAGTTAAATTACCTCTTCTCCCTGAGGCCTGTTATCCCTTGCTGGGGAAAACGTGGGGAAAGAGAAAATGTAATTTCGGACTGCATGTGGGCCATGGTGTGAGAAATGAGCGTCTCCGTGCCAGTGGGCCATGCTGGCAGCATCCGAGCTGGGGAGGAGTCGGGAGCAGGCAGTGCATGAGGATCCACAGGTGCCAATGGCCTCAGCCCTGCAGGGCCGCTTAATGATGGCGTCTGGTGCCTCCTGCTCTGCCCTGTGCAGGTTCAGGTGCTATGTGCGAGCAGGCAACAGAGCTGGGCTGCGCTCTGAATGCTTGCTGACTGTCCTTTTGGGCTATACAGAGGGGAGAAGGCTGAAAACTAAGAGAATAGGGGTGCAACATCCAGACTACTTTGAAAAAAAAAAAAAAAAGTCTTTGAGTGCAGTTCCTCTCCTACCCTGCCCCTTCCTGCACTGAAGTTGTAAAATATCATCTCTATGAATCATTGTAAAAGGTTTTCAGTTTTATAGTTTTAATTATGTCTGCACATTTACCATATGCTTAAATGGGTTTTGGTGCCAATGCATTCTTTACGTTGAATTAATGTAGTGATCTGGGAACGTGAAAGCTAAGAAAGATGTGAACTGCATCTTCTATGGTAAATAAATGCTCCCTTAAGTGTTCCTGCCAGTGGTTTATAGCAAGAGAATACAATCAAAATTCATAGGCTTATAGCACATGCTGCTAGCAATTAGCTCCCATACATTGTCCTGTATTTCCAGGGATGCCTCTTTAATGGCAATGAGACGACGTATTAACGGCTTAACTCCAGAAGAGATTCGTGCACTTTCTAAAGAGGAGCTTCAGATGCCGGTTACCAAGGGGGACTTTGAGCTGGCTCTGAAGAAAATCTCCAAATCTGTTTCTGCTGCAGACCTGGAGAAGTATGAAAAGTGGATGGCGGAGTTTGGATCTGCTTAATTTCAGTGACAGCTCTCCTTTGCTAGAATTTTATGGCCTTTGTTGTTTTCACTTGCAAAATGAGTTAAAAATCTTTTCAAATGTTTAATAAAAGGTTTGCCTCTGCCCCCATCCCACCCGCTTCTGGTGACAAGATCTTTTAAAATCCATTTGCCTGTAAAGGGAATGAACACAATAATGAGCTGATATTGTAAAAGATATTTTATCTCTGAAATAGTAAAATAAGACAAACAGGAAGGGAAAAGGATAATCTTTTTATTTTTCCAGTGAAGAGCAGTATTACTTAACCTCATCATAGACATTTTTCATGGCTGGAATCAGTAAATCAGCTGGGAGATGTGACTCCAGAGGAGCTAACAAGGGCTTGCTGTACCCCTGCTCTTAATTGCTACATTTCTGTTGAGCTGCTGACTCTGCCTCCCTTGAATGTGGCATCAAAGTTACTGTTCTCTCTCTGCTTCGATATTTGGAGCAAAGCCTGTGGATTAACTGGCATTACACAGAGGAAATGAAGATCGGTTTTCCATCGAGACATGGGCTTGGCTCTCCTCTCATGTACACCCATTTGGAATTGATGTCACTTCAGACTGGATTGATGTTACCTGTGATGACTTCTGATGGAAATGAGAGGAGAAGGGCCTTGACTGTTGTCTGTTCAGTTTATGTTTGATCTCTGAACATAGTTTGTACCAGTTGACCAGTAGACACTTCAAAGTTTGACCACTAGACACTTTGACTTAAGTTACATCTTGCACTTTTATGCTTATGTATCATCCTATACTTTGTCTGTGCTGTCTAGATGATATCATTAATATTATTTAATTAACAAGAGTTTAATACAGTAAAGACACTATTATCAATGCTGTCTTTAAAACACAAGGCTGTCCTTAAAGCACGTGGCTGTGGACTTGCACTTCTTCTGATTAGGCATGAGCTCTTTCCTAGCTTTGCTAGACAGTGGGATTTGCACTTGTTTGTTGCAGGACTGTTCATGCTTGATTTTTTTTTAATGAAGATTTCTTAAAAACATATAAATTTTATTGATTTCGGGAAAATAATCTGTACAATTGCATTTATATTCTTAAGTCTTTCTTCCCTTCCCACATACAAGTGCAGAATGAGAAGGGTTGGGTTATAAACTCTAGCGTGAGAAATCCTCTCGCTAGAATAGAACTGTCATGCTGACTACATGAGCTTTTCACAGACTTGGGCTGCGAGTCTGACACACAAAGGTTTCCTGTGCTAGGAATGAGAAGGAGAGGTCAAATTTACAGAGGAATATGCCAGCTCTCAAATTTTTGGTGATTTTGTGAGCTAGGGCCAAAGTATCTTGGATGTGAGCTGCTGTGCAGTTCGGTAGGTGTTCTGCCCTTCCACTCTCTGCTGAGACTTCTAGTGGCAGAGCCAGATGTGGCAAAGTGGAGTAGGAAACAGAGAACACCTCCTCTTGAATGGGAGTATATGCTTATTTGCTCCTTTTTGCTAGTTCTTGGAAGTTCCCAATAATATCAGACACACTGGTCTCTTGGGCCGTGAATGTGAACCGCTAAGGCAAGTGCTGCTCAAGTGTGTTTACTGTTCAATAGCAAGGACTGTCAGGATAGATGCGTGACAGCTCTGCAGCATCTATCTGATTACATGAGCGACTTCTGAAGCTGTTTTACCACTGCTGCTTTGTCTGTCAGTATTCCTTTTGCCTTCTTTGTATGTGAAGACCATGTCTCGGATTGATTCTGTCATTTTAAAGGGCTACCCCAATTTGCATGAAGAAACACCATGGAGATTCTGTCAGTCTTACATTTGACGTGAAACACCGTCAGGGCTTTAGAAGCGTGTTTCCATGTGGCAGTCTGGAAAAATGTCTTCTGGGGCCCCCAGACTGGTTGAGACACAGCTGCTGTTCCTATCTTTCCAAGGACAGAACATCTCTGCTGCCTAGCGTTGGGCCCTGCCACACTTGTGGACAAGGCGGTTAGTGCTGAAAGAACACCAGCTTTTACCCTCTTCACCTGCAGGGAGAATCGATGCTCCTTTCCTGACCAGTTTGCACCAACGGCACAGTAGAGCCCTTAGGATTCACAATACCTGTGGCTGTCAGACCAAAATGAACAGTTCTCTCTGCATTGGAAGATGAGCAAGCAGAAGCTGTGTTGACTCTTTATAAATTTTGGATAAATTCCTGCCAGGGCTAGTCTGTTCCTACCAGGGAATAACCGGATCTTTACAGAGAGAAAGCTCTGAAAACATTGCTACAGTGTGTCATTTCTTCCGTATGAAAGCTGTAGGCTGCAGCCTTTCCTCTTTTTCGTTTTGTTTGTTTTACTGCAGTAGGAATTAGTAAAGCTACGCAAATACTTTGTGTCCAATGCCAGATTAACGCTTCAGGGTCTCTGACTAGAGAGACCATTGCTGCCCGAGGAGCTTAGTCTACACAAGCAAAGATCTAGAAGGGAATAGACATGAATGCCAATAACTTACCCTGTTCAGCTGCCCAAGAGCAGTGCTGGGATTCAGCACTTGCTGCTTAGAAAGTTCTAAGTACCAGTTATCTCAGCTTCATATTGCAAGCACCAGCGCCATTACTGCTGAACACAGCATGTCATTCCTTAGCTCTTTCATGAACCTTCTACCTTAAGGCATTAAACTTCCTTCTTGAATGTTAAGCAAAATTCACTGTACTGGGCATTCCCTCTAGTAAGAATTATTCAGGTGCGGCGGTCTTTTTCTCTGAAGGTCATTTCTACCCCAAGTCTGTTTTTCTTGTGCAGGTCCATTCATCTTTTACTGCTGCAGAACAGAAGAGTGAAAGTTTCCAGGCTGTAGAAGTTTATATGTACGATGGTTGTGCCCAAGCATTACACCCGTGACTTGGGCCCGACTAGATCAGGCACCCTGGAAGGCAGAGACCATCCCTTCCCTGTTGAGACTTCTCAGGGCAGGGATGCTGACCCGGACATCTCTACCAAGTCACACTGGTGCGCTCACCTGGGTGGGCTTGGAGATTGGGTTATTAACTCAAGAGGGGAGCCAGCAGCGGGGTGCAGCAAGGAGCAACCACGGATGGGAGGCTGGGCCAGCAGAGGCAGCAGCTCGAGGCCCTAAGGATGAGCTTACGGCTCATCCTAAGTCTGGTTTGTGTCCCGTGGGGGGAAACCCTTGTGTAGGGACGTAGGATTCCTCGGAGAGCAACGTACGAGCATATCACAGCCTGCTGCAACAATTTATTCAGTCTACGTCTGCGTGGAGGTATGCGTGCGCCCGTGTGTATGCGTATATATACACACACAACGTCTGCTGCTTCAGTAGTTTGTACCCAAATTACATAAAAAACATGTTTTAAAGCTGTGTTTACTTGTCTCTTTCTGAACATCTGTGAAGGCCCTCCTGGGTGGCACTGTTAATTTTTGTACAATAAGCAATCTGGTTGTATGAAGTAATAAACATACGTGTGGAGTCTGTCTCGCCTGGGTCGGGCTGCGAGTGCTTTGCTGGTAACTGTTTCCAAAGGGTGCCATACAATGCTGATCTTTTCAGCATGTCATGGTGGTGTTGGACTCACCAAAGCCCTAGATGGAGAGCAGTTAAAGCAGAGTCTGCTTTTTTTGAATAACGCTGTCAGCAATGCTTTCCCTCTTAAATTGGCCTTTTGTTGCCACAAGCTATAAAATGGGGAACACTCCAATGCCCAGCGCACGGAAGGAGGTGGGGGGTGGAGGAGAGCAGAGGCCCCAGCAGATGTTCAGTGTTAGCACCTGATTCAGACCTCACAGCATTGGGCAGGCTTTTTTATTACTTGCCCCTGGGCTGGAAGTATAATCAGGCTCCAGAGAAGCTGTATCATCAGCTGACTGCTAACCAGAAGACTTTCAAGAGCAAAAGTTCTCTTAGGAAAGAGCTTTCAAACTTGGAAAGCGATCCCAAGTCTCTTGGGATGAAGTTGATTATTTGAATTTTCTCACTAACTTCCTTATGAAAGTATGTGTAGTTTCTAGTGTTTCATAATGCCTCAAGCAGGAAAGAGCAAGCAAGGGAAATTGCTGATCAAGGAATTTCAGGAGAGGTCAAATCTTTGCATAGAAGGTTCAGCTCACCCCGGTTTAAAAGAGGCTGTGAAATAGCAAAGGTGCACTGATTTGTTCTGATCATGGTGGAGATGAAAGAGCTTGTGTGCTGTAAAGGAGTCCTCCATCAAGCGAGCAGAGTCGTAGCTGTACAGTCCAGGCACGAGGAGGTGGAAGCAGCAGAGGAAACAGTGAAAATTTTTTTGTCTGTTTTTGGAAGAAACCACCCTGAATCATTTTGTGGACTGAGATTTTTTTCTGATCTGTAGCGACAGATAAGAACATGATGAACATACAGGTGGAAGTGCTACCATGGAGCCAGCGTGGAGCCTGGGAGCTCAGAGCACTGGTGTGAAGTGGGTGTCTGCACTGCAGCGGCAGCTGGGGCCACGGCCATCAGCGCAGGCTGGGTCTCAGTAGCCCTCTGACGGAATGAAGCGGACGGCGTAAAGCCACCCGTGTTGGCGTCAGCGAAGGCAGAGCGATGCTGCAGGGTGGAGGATGTGGCACACGGTCTTTCTCCCTGCTCACCTTCAGTGTTTTCACAAAAGCGCTGTGCGAAAGTCGGCCGTGGCTGCGGATGCCTCAGTCCCCTGCGTTTTGGAGCCCGGTGACCACGCAAACCGTAGCGAACAGAGCTGCTGCTGCCAGTGCTGTTCCTGCCTCCCACAGCACAGGGGCATTTGACCCTCTCTGCTTTCTAAGCCAGCCTGGTTTTGTGTGCTGGTTGTGACCTGTTCTTCTGACCCACTCACCGCACAGGCGGCTGTGCGGCACCTCAAATAGAGTAGCTCCTTTTGTGCAATACAGAGCTGTCTGTCGGTCAGCTGAAGTGCCCTGCTCCCACACACGTCTGCACCTAGGTGTCTTGGAAAGATCCAGGCAATGTTCCTCCTCTTTAGAAGGCCCCTGCTAGCATTAAAAGCATATGGGATTAGATGTCTTGGCTAGCCTGGTTCCCCAGTGCAAGGATGCTTACCTCAACAGCCAAGGAAGCCCCACAAGGAAAGTTCTGGCTTTGTAATGAAGAAGCAAAGCGTGGGGATGTTCCCATTCCTACTGCACGGGCAGAGTTAATGCCATATCGTGTCCAAGCTCAATTTTCTGGTTTTTGTGTATTTGTGATTTCTTTGTT